ATAAAAAGTCACTCTGTACAGCATATTGATGTCGTAAAGTTTCACAAATTTTATATAAATAANACATGTCATAAATAATAATGAAATTAATAATAATAATTAATATAAACATACACACTGATAAACAAGTGCCTATTGGTATATGCCAAATTGGGACATTAGTCAAATGCTTTCAGTTTATTTATTTACAAGAATCATATAGCTACCTATAGCAAACATGTCTTGTCTTAGGGTGGAGTGTTATATCTATTGCAAATGGGAACATATGCAAATTCATCATCCTACTACCACCATCAATTAGCTATCATATTGAAACTGTACCAGCATCAATAGTCTGTACAGACTGAAAGAATGAAAAGCAAAAGAACAAGGGCACCATAATTCTTGATTTAAATGACCAGGGACATGCACTTGTAATATCTGCTCTAATATTATGTTTGTTTGTTAGTAACAATTTAACACTAAACTTCCCAAGAGTGCATTTTTACTATATGTAAGAATATTCTATAGGTATACTATACACAATGATAGGTTTTGTCTCAGCTGTTTGGATCATAACATCTGTTACTTTATAAAAGAGGCAGCAACAGCCTATTGGACATCTCAAGTTATTTACAATGCCTTCTTACCTTCTCTTGCTTAATGCAGTGCTTGCCTTTATGGCTACAACAGGTATGCTTCTTTTATTCTGTATATGAACAGAAGTGCATGATGATGCATGGAAGTAAAATCTTTTCTATCATCAATATATCATGCACTCCTGATATAAGAGCTATAATTGTTATTGCAGGTTGTGGTCAGAGCACTTGTTGCAGCAATGGGCCAGTCTACTGTCTTAATGCAATAAAAGACGTCTGGCTGGAAGGAGGATCAAATAAGAACTCGTACGGCCTTATAATTGGTAAACATCCGGAATTCCTCAAGAAAAGGAGTCTCATTCAATTTGGAGACATACCAAGTGATTGTGGCAACATTGTATCAGCAAAACTTTACTTGAAGTATTGGTATTCACACAAAGCCAGCTGGCAGAATATAACTAATATCAATAGAACAGTACAAGTTCATCAGGTTATTATAACAGGCAGGGAGTTGAAAGGAAAAGGGAGGAGAAGGGAAAAAATTAGCCTGAAATGAGAGATAGAACTTTAGCTGCTATTATTTTCATTTTAGGTCAAACAAGATTGGACAGAGTCACAGGCAACAAGTACTCATCACAAGACTGGAATAAAATGGAGCAAACCTTATCTTGCTCTTGATGGGACTGATGCAAATCCAAATACTTTGGACACTGTTATCTTCCCTCCTACTAAACCATGGCTTCAACTGGATATCACTGAAGCAGCACAAAACTGGAAGAACGGAGAGAGAAATTATGGAGTTCTTATTTGGGCAACGAATGAGAATGATGATGGATGGGATATTCGCTTCCATAGCCGTGAACACTGCAATGATAAGCCATTCCTCTCCATCTTTTGCAACTGATTTTGAAATGAACTGAGCTACTCCATTCATGAACTTGAGTTTTTTATAAGTAGATAATTTTAGGCTGACATTCATTTTTGATATTTTTTGTATTGATTTTTAAAAATTAGTTTCATTATTAGTCTAGTAAACATGATTATGTTATTTAGAGGGATAAAAAGTTTATCTATTACAAATGGTGATATTGCCATCATCAGTAGTGAGAATTGATTCAGGAAGCCTGAGTGCCATATTAAAACTGTACATCACTCTGTAGAGCATATTGTTGATTTGAATGGCAAAGATTTGTATTAGCTACTACAGATATAATTTGTTTTTAACACTCTTTAATTTTCAGAGTGCTAATACTTCCCAAAGTGTGCATTTTTTACTTTTACAGTTTTTTTGCTTATTGTGTTGTTATAATTAAATTACCTATAATAATATCATTGAAACCAAATTTGAGTATAAATTGCACTCATATCAACTGTAATTTACCAATTGGCATGCATGTAACAAAAAACAATTAGTTCACAAATCTTAAAATTAAAACTACGTTAACATTAAGTGAAGCATCTTAATAATGTTTATAGAACTGGTTCTGTTCCTTAATAGCAATCTATTGGTATAAATGCACTTGCCGCGGGATATACGATCGGTTAAGATCAAATATTATATTACAGCAAAGAACTACAGACAAAACGACAGACAAAATGACAGACAAAAGAGTACAGAGCACAAGCTCCTTTTATACAAAAATCAAAATTAAATCATTACATAAGTGTAATGATACTAAACATAGTAACAATAATAATTTAGCACAAAATCTTAATTAGTTAACACATTAAGTACTA